CATAGGCCTGAGAATGCCTTAAAGTGCGCTTAGCAAGAGAACCTTAACAGCTGTGTTTTTGGAAAGAAAACACTGAACTAAATCCGTAGACATGAATCCTAGTTTGGTGTCCTTGCTAACAGGAGGGCCAGTTGTAGAAATGAAGGTATTATAATAATTTGAACTTGTTTATTAACACATTTGAGCATTCTGAACCGAAACTCTCATTCTCTCATCATCGTCCTTCCTCTATATGTCCTCCTTCATCCTCTCTAAACTCCTCCCTCCATCTTACTCTCGTTCCATCCACCCCCCTCCTTCCTTCCATCCATATCCCACCTGCCCCTTTACTCAATATCCCACCTGTCCAGGTTGCAGGGGAATACAAACTGCTGAGACTCTGAGGTTTGGGGAGTTTTGCGATTACATCGCTTCTTGGGAAGAATCCCTCATCTTTCTCCTTGAAAGTAAAGCTTGGTTTACCATATCCAGCGTTGCCTCTTTTCAGAAACTTATGGCTCAACTTACCCCTGTTCAAATTGCTCAACTTACCCCATCGCTACCATATTGACTTTATTAGCCCCCACAGCTAATGGTGCACTTTCATGCTAGCTGTACTACCTCATTTTGTAGTTAAAAGATACCACAATTGATGTATAAAACAAATTAAAAATGATCTATTTTGGTCTAAACACAATCCCCATGAAACTTAGACTAAATTCACTTTCATGAGTGAAAAATGCTTTTTAGGACATAAATCTCTAACCACTTAACTCACATGGTTCTTACCTTCACAGACTCCTTAAAATGATGCCTTCCTCCTAAATATTTGGTCACATGCTCAATTTTATTTACGGTTTCCTAGCAACAAGGGGTGGCTCAATTTACCCTTTGGCTCAACTTACCCTAGTCTCCCCTATGGTCCATCTTAATCTGTTCCCACAATACTTTTTGTCTCAAAAGACTACCTGATTTGATACCCTCAAAATTGCAATTTTTACACTAGTGTGTGGAGAATTTAATACTCTCCTATTTGTAGAACAACCATAGAAACTCAAGGGTAACACACAAAATAAAGCGTCATTACTTAAGAGTTACAGCGTTATCTTTTGTACTAAATTACTAAACTATTATTTGCTTAAATCCCTCAACAGGCTTATAAGGGACAGGCCTTTACCTCATTTTACATAGAACTTAATGTTGCTCAGCTAAGATGGGAAATACAATCAGATTGGTCCAGTATAAATATTACTTAAAAATTGGGCTCTAAATAACATATCAGTTATGTGTTATGTCATGATACTTGTTTCACAGCACCTGAAGATAACGGCATATATCTTGGATTCATTTTTACAAAAACACTTGATTCTTTTGATCGGCGGAGCCTTATGGACTAAACTTAGTGGGTAATCAAGGAACGGACACATATTCTGACTTTATGAAAGCTACAGAAGAAGGGAGTCACCACTTGTTTTGTTTTTTTTTATGCTGGTAAATCTGAATGAATTACAGTCTTCTGTGGTGCTCATGGTTTCAATGAACTGAGCTAACGATGTGTAGCATCTCTATATTGACAGAAGTTTAAACATAAGTATGCGCTATTTAAACAGCTAACTAATGTTAGCTTAAGCGGGTTTGTGGGTTACAAACCAGTTTTATACATCCAAAAAACTTATATAAAATTGAACCACTTGGTAACCAGACCAGGTGTCAGATTGAGACAGGCCTTTATATGTCAAAATGTCTAACGTTAGCTATACCAGGCTAGTGAAAGGTACAGGGCTTTTATTTGAGGTTTTATGGTATATGTTAGTTATTAACCTAATTAGGCAGTCTGTCTAACAATAGGCAGTTGATTTAACACTCCATAACTGGCTTAGTAGATGGGATTTTCGAATCGTTAACTTAACGTTAGCAAGATATGGTACGTTAACTAACATTAGCTAGCTAACCAGTGAATAGCTGACCTTATCACATTTGTCAGTTGTTATGTATCTAACATTTCCGTTCTACACAAAATTTTACCTTAACTGTTCCAATGTTACTTATAGCTAACTAATGTTCAAAATATTGTCCCATTAATGGCTTTACGACTCCATAGTTTGCCCTGGGAAAAGAAACATTAGCTTAAAGATAACTGCTTCTAACTTCACCGGTCTTTCTCTTAAAGGTGAAACCTGGTTGAAACATGTCCGTCAGCCAGGGTTTCTGTGTGTACTTTATATGAAGCAGGCAACTGTCCGGTGAGCAACAGTGCTGGAGAGTACATTAAGAACAAGTCCCAATTTTCTTCATGATGAAACAGCAATTATTTTGTTAGTATTCAGTCACTACATTTCCCATGAGTCTTTACACTTCCTGAGAACTGTTCTTGTTACACTAAGTACATGTGGTGATAACCATATTTATATTAGCTGAAAACAAGCAAAAAAACCTATGTTTTAGAGTACTTTGTCACTAAGTATACATTACATTTAGAACATTTTTTCAGGAAGACTAAGTGAAAGCTATGAGAAAACCTACTGAGTCACAGAAGTGGGTAGAAGATAGGCAGGAGAGCAGGTAGAACTTCAAATAAGAATATAAATGACACTACTATAACGTTAAATAATGATAATACAAGCTGAACATTTTGTGGAATTTTGCTTTATTGTTAAACAAAATACGCATTATTTTCTGATTCATCAAAATTGTATCTATTGCGTGGTTGTGGCATTTGGTTTGACAACATTTGACTCAAAAATAAACTCTGAATACAGAGCAAAATGGTTCAGCAGACCAAATTCCTGCTTTGTATAAAACTAGTTTAGGGTCAGTTACCCAACAGTGGACTGAAGTGCATTAATTTCACTGAATATTTACGCAACATTCGTGGGTGTTACTCCCATTTGATGTGCCCACTTAAAGTGCATTTTTTAAAGTAGCGAGGAAAATCAACTCACAGAGTGCAATTTACAAGAAAGATAACACAAAAGTAAGACAGTGGCACCAAAGTTGGCATCAGGTAGAAGCACATTAGGGTTTGTGTTGCTGACACTGACTACGTCTGTAGAGTTAACAGTTTACCTTGAATCCAACTTGCTTCAAAGAAATCTTTTGTTAGTCTAACAAAATCAACATTTTATATCACAATGAAGTTCTGCATATTTAATTGGTCTTTCTGACAACTGTCATAAAGTGCTCTAAATAGGCCTCATCTACCCTTTTTTAGTCAGCATCCTTTTCAGTGAGCGTCTTAAATGAAGTGCACCATGCTGTCCTCGCATTCTTTGGGCACAGCGAGCTTGTAGTTATGGCAGACTAACTTATAATTCTCTCCATCATTGTTGTCCCAGTATTCAGCCCCACAGACTCTGTATCGGATGGCAAACTGCAACACTGCCCCTGGCTGTAGGAATGGAGGAACAGGCAGGTGGAAACGAAATGTATCACAACTGAACTGGCCCCCTCCTCCTTCCCAGGTCTTGGTGATGGTGGACACCCAAGAAGCTTTAGTTTCTGAGCAGCTCTTCCAGTCTGTAAACGAATAGCGGGCTGTGACATCTTTCTCAAAGTCCAAGTTCATGACCTGGGTGATTCCCATGACACCCAGCTCAAAACACAAGACTCTTTCCAGAGACACTTTCTGCGCATGGAGGCGATGCAGGAATCCTTCCTGGTCACCGGGTTGTTGATTAAAAACCGGCTTCAAGTATGGCAAAGATATCTCAAGATGCTTTCCATCTGCCAACTCTGCATCCATCAGCAATCTGAAGGCAACATGATGTGGTATAAACGGATCCTCTCCAGATTTAAAAAGCTTGACGTCCTCCAGGTCGAGCCCCAAAGAGTCGACAAACCGTACGCCAACATTTCTACATTTCTTGTGTGTGGTGGAAGGCAGAGAGTGTGACCGTTGTCGGATGATGGGTTTAGGTATGGGTTCACAGGAGAGACTGCGGCGGAACTCTTGTTCCTTTGGCACAGAGACTCTGGGGCTTGGGGGGCGGATTGGAACTGGCTTCTTGACTGCATTAGGTTTGTCAGCTTGAAGCATTTGAGTCAGGTTAATAATCATACGGGGTCTTGAGACACTGCTGCATGAGCTGGACGCCTCCTCCTTCGCAGGGGGAATCCTCTCATGTCCAATGAACCACCCTTTATCCATGTTCTGTGGGAAGAGCTGTCCTGCACACCTGCAAAGAAAGTTGTGAAACATAATATCAGGTTGCTTTCATCCCTGAAACACTCTTACCTAAAGCACAATGACCCAGTTATAACACCAATGTACTCTTTTTTACATAAAAATGTGTGATATTGTGATGCAAATTTTAAAAGAACAGCAATTTTTTGTGAATATAACAAAAAATAAACACAGCAGCATATAAAGTGGGCGTGTTCTCTGAAAGTACGTGCGTAAATGCACACAGCCTATTCTGTCCTCTCTCTGCACACATACAGTGTTACACAAACTGCCTTTAATATGCTTCCAGAATATTAGACATTGACATCACCTCACCATATAAAGAAATGGAGCGTTAGTTACACCTAAGCTGCAGGGTGTAGCCCAAGCTAGATCCTCCATTTGAAGTAGTATTTATTAGAGCTGCGCGTTTCCGTGCGTCACGGGGTCTCCGCTGTTGGCCACAATCACGTAACCCGATCTGTAACTAGTAACCAGCTTCACAACTCCAAAAGACACATGCATGATTGTGGCGTGTCCTCGATGGAGATCGGCTAACATGAGCGCAGTTAACAGGAAGTTTGAAACGGACCAGACAGCCCAGACGTTACATGGGAGATTGAGTGATTTGAGATGAGCAGTTGCGTTTGAGTGCATTGTTTTTAGCTTGTTTTCGCAAGCACAGTGTTGGCTTCTTCGACACATGCCTTTAACATTATTTATCAATATTAAGTTGTATTATTTAAGAGTGTTTGCGTATTTCGTTATAAAGAGCCACTGGTATGTTTTACTCCAAGTCCCATGATGCACCGCTGAGCCCACTCCGACACAAGCGGTGAGCCAGTAAGCAGCAGGTAAACAAACCTATCTGACTGGGACGGCGAGCCAAACAAAGCGTATGCGCCGTTTGACCGCCTTGCATTTTTAATGGCGAACAGGATGACAGTCGAAAAGGAGACACGTCTGCTGTCACCTCGTCATTGAAAATAACTGACGGAATTTTAATTCACCAGAGAGGAGAGACGACGGCAACAGAGAAGGACGCGTTTAACCTGCAACGACTGTCGACATCTGCGCATGATGCATTGCAGCACTTTTGAGAAAATGGGTGTTTTTAGCCTCATTCTCAGGATAGAGTATCTGATCCGAGATGTCGGTTGGGTTCTTTAGCTACCGTGTCGTCTGATTGTGCTGGAGTCGAAACAACAATCCCCTCTGGCGACCTGCACCATGGGGCCCATCATGCAGGAGCGCACAGCATCCACGACACTGAAACGCGTCGTTTCCAAAGAGAAGATTCGGGTAAAATACACTGAAAACAGCGGGCCAGTAACCAGGTGGGCCTCATTTTACTGTCACACATCCAAGGCTAAATCAAATTTGTTATGTTTTGTCTCAGATGTGGATAAGAGGCGAACCTGACAACACACTATCATGTTTCCACAGTTCAAAGAAAGGTAACAAGATGAAGAAAGCAGTGGGCCAGATGAAAAATGGCCTCCCCAGCCCAGGTCAGGATAAGGATACAGTGACAGCAGTGCAGAAGGTGAGTGAATGCCATCACGGTCAATTAAAGAGAGACAATGTCAACATCATGGTCACAGGAGAAGACAGTGATGCAGCATGTGTTGCTTCACAGAACTCAAGACATGAATAATCAATTTCCGTATTGATTGTCTTTCAGGGTGCACAGTCAAAAGGTGGCAGGGTCAAATCTGGCTCCACACGCAACACAAGCAAACTCTCCAGGTATGTCTGATGAGGAGTTTGCATTCTCACTGACTGCTTCCCTTCAAGTACAGTAAATCCCTAAATCCCCACCAGCTTTTCCTAACACTCATCTGTCTCCTTACAGTCCTGAAGAAGATGGAGATTTGAGACCTCAGCTTCGCAAACATTTATCCGTGCACAGGAAAGAGGAGCAGCGCGAAAATAAACGGGTGTCACAGTGCAGCAACGAGCTACACCCGAATCGTGGGGGGATGGGGAAAAATCGGCGAGCCCTCTCCCTGCCTCTCTCCCCAATATCAGGGCTGCGACACACGCCATCACAGCCCCTTACACACTCCCCAGCCCCCACCCCTGAGGCGCTACAGCAGCAGTACAACCAGAAGGATGATGACACTGACAGTGCCAGTGATCTGTCAGACTCTGAGAGGCTGCCTGTGCTGCCCTCTCCCTGCACCCCCTGCACCCCTCCTCACCTTAATCTCCGGGCGGAGGTCATCAACACTAATGACTTTCCGCCAGACTTCCCAGGACCACATGGGGCTGTGTGTGATGAGGATGAGACTGAGAAACCCAGCTACAGCTACCCAGACTTTCTGCCTCCACCCTTCAACAGCTGGAGCCTGAGACAGCTGGCGGTGTTTCTTCACACGGAGGGCCGTGGGGCCCCCCGGCCCAAGCCTGTAGGCCACTTGGAGAAGTACCTGGAGAGGCTGCTGCAGCTGGAGTGGCTCCAGATCCAAACAGTGCAAGCGGAGAGCAGCCGTCCTCCTGGGACCCGCTCAAGGCCACAGGGCTTCCCTTCTGCCACCACCGCTCACCCCCCCAGGCCTCACACAGCTCCACCATCCCGACTCAACTCCCCTAAAGGGCTGCGGCACAGCCAGCGAGCCTTCCCATTTGCACCTGTCAACAACCCCCCATCCCCTGCTTCAACCCAGCAACAGCACTCCCGCTTTCCAGTTTGCCCTCACTGTCACATTCGCTACCCGTTGTGCAATGGAAGCTGCTCTGCCTATGCCTACCAGCGTCACTCAAGGCTCAGCCCGCTGCTTGAGCGCAGAGCCAAACCTGGAGCACCAGCGAAGAGGAGCAGCAGCGAGACCCGGGCGACCTCAACAGAAGGCCGGAGCCCTGGAGGACAAGGTGGAGGAGCCCAGACCCCAGTTAGCCCCTCGGCTGGAAGGAGTCACCTCAGGCACATGCAGGCCGCAGGCAACGCCCGAAAGCAACCCCAGGAATCTGGAACTAACGCAAACAGCAGAGGTCAAGTGAGAAAAAGCCGAATCAGAGCTAACTCTGAGACAGATGTGAAAAAGGAGCCTTGTGGGAGTAAAACAGCTGGTGCAGAGAAACGGGTCTTTGCTGCGAGTAAGAGAGAGGTCATCACCTCCAAGAGGGTAGAGAAGGACTGGCAGAGGACAGAGGCGGTGGGTCAGGCCTCAAAAACTGCCATGAAGAGAGCAGCTAAAGAGCCGCAATCTTTATCCAAAGCTCCACTTGGTAATAAGCAGAATGGCAAAACAAAAAATGTGCACTTTGTTGCGAAGTAACCCCTATAAACCTACAGTATACTGCTTTATTAGCGATTACCTGGTACAGGAGCTTGAACCTATGCCTGCTTTCTGTGTACTCTGTGTAATACTAACATGTTGTAACTGTTGTACAGCGGTCTAAATCAGTCAGTGGCATACTGCCTTCAAAAGGTCACAAGTAACAACAGGTTGAGCAGCTAGAGTAGAGATAAAAACAGCAATGATTTAAAAATATGACACTTAAATAGAACAGAATTCTACACGTTGTATTTCATCTCAAATGTACAGTAAGTATACAGTCATAATGTTAGACTGTGTTTTGACAGGAGGCTCGTTATGAACTGGAGCACTACTAGGATTTAAACACAGCTTTTATGTAAATTGAACTCTGCTGCACTGCACATCATCATCTCTCAGTATACTACTAATAAGCATAAAATAAGCATCTACTCTACCACTGGACAGCTTTCAGCATAAGTAAACCATCGTGAAGTTTGACAGAGATCATTACATTTTAGTCAGCCAATACAACCATTGCCGTTACTAGTGGAGTCTGTGATGTTGGAATGTATTTGTTTTCAATGCTCTTCCTTTACTCGATGTTGCATTTTATATTTTCTTTGGTGCCTCATGTTTTTGAGACATATGTTCCGTTAAGGCATCTTTTGGCTGAAAAGAAGGAGGCACAATAACTGGTGGTGTACTGCAGTGATGTAATTTGTTTGACATATATCTGTGCAATGGTTTAACATTTTTGGTTCCAAGGGCTTTTCATGTTTGAACAGCTTGAATTGTAGTCTATGATAATATACTGTATTTTGCATAGAGCTGAGCTCTTTCTATCATTGAAGACAGTGTAATGTTTGCTACGAATGTAAATGCATATTTTTCCAAATTTTATATACCATAGTTATATTTATGAAAAGTGTCGTGGTTGACTTGTAATCATCATTGTCATTATTCTGTTTACATCGTCACGCACAAAAACAAAAATATTTAGTCAAAGAGCTGAATGTAACTTAATGTCCTCCGTGCTGTACCATTGGCCATCCCTGTGATTCAGTGGAATTCCAACACAACATAGCTGTTAACGCTGGTAATGTCATACATATCACCTCCATATCACACTGCATACTTGAAGTCTTTAGAAGATTGTGTTTACATTAGAGTGTCTTTATCTGTTTGTTGTGATTTACCATGTGCACTTGATTCGTGGAAACACTACATCAGTGTAAATAATGTGATATGTAATCAGATTGCACCTCTTAATAATCCTGTAAAGTATCAAAGCCATAGATAAGGGGCTAGGAGGGGCGGTGTTATTATAAAAATGTACATTTTGTCGACACGCACGCAGAAAGATTGTGGTATGTATTTTCTCAATGTTGAATGCAAGTATTTGTAAGGCATAGAAATAAATGTTTTGCACTCAAGAGATAGTGACCCACTGGTTATTCTTTGGAGACACTATCCCAAACTTAACCAGCCTTATACCCCTTTTCGACAGTCATGTGCTGGCTTGGATTTGCTTGGTCCCAGCACAGCAGGGATTTGCATTTCTATTACAACGGGACGACATTCGTGAAGGTGTGTCTTAGTCTGATGATGGCTTGTCTTGAGCGATGATGTTTAAAGGCAGCACTCTGATCCATGGCTTAAGTCCTGTTAATTTTGTTGCATGTGTTTTTCCATCACACAGTAGGACAAGTAAAGAAATTTACCTGTTGGAGGTGAGCTGTTGGCAGAGGTGCAGTAAGAGTCTGTTGTCTGCAGCTCTTCATCAACATCTCACTGTGGCTGTTTCTAATTTTACTCTTCCTCCCTGCCGTATTATTAGACCTGTCTTTATTAAAGAAAAGGCACTAGCAAAGTTAAAAATGCAGTGACAAACGCATTTCATTCCCTGGGAGAGAAACTCCAAACCATATACACTGCCTGGCCAAAAAAAAAGTCGCCACCTGGATTTAACTAAGCAAATAGGTACGAGCCTCCTATTGGATAATTACTGCATGGGCGATTATCTTTCAGCTGGCAACAAGTTATTTAACCCCAACTGGTGCAATGAGTTGCTTCTCATTTCCTAAACAACCATGTCGAAAGACACATCCCGTGGTCGTGGAAAAGATGTTAGTCTGTTTGAGAAGGGTCAAATCATTGGCATGCATCAAGCAGAGAAAACATCTAAGGAGACTGCAGAAACTACTAAAATTGGGTTAAGAATTGTCCAACGCATTATTAAAAACTGGAAGGATAGTGGGGACCCATTGTCTTTGAGGAAGAAATGTGGCCAGAAAAAAAAAATCCTCGATGATCGTGATCGGCGATCACTTAAACGTTTGGTGAGATCAAATCGAAGAAAAACAACAGTAGAACTCAGGGCTATGTTTAATAGTGAAAGTAAGAGCATTTCCACACGCACAATGCGAAGGGAACTCAAGGGATTGGGACTGAACAGCTGTGTAGCCTTAAGAAAACCACTAATCAGTGAGGCTAACCGGAAAAAAAGGCTTCAATTTGCTAGGGAGCATAAAGATTGGACTCTGGAGCAATGGAAGAAGGTCATGTGGTCTGATGAGTCCAGATTTACCCTGTTCCAGAGTGATGGGCGCATCAGGGTAAGAAGAGAGGCAGATGAAGTGATTCACCCATCATGCCTAGTGCCTACTGTACAAGCCTGTGGGGGCAGTGTTATGATCTGGGGTTGCTGCAGTTGGTCAGGTCTATGTTCAGCAACAGTATGTGCTCAAAGAATGAGGTCAGCTGACTACCTGAATATACTGAATGACCAGGTTATTCCATCAATGGATTTTTTCTTCCCTGATGGCACGGGCATATTCCAAGATGACAATGCCAGGATTCATCGGGCTCAAATTGTGAAAGACTGGTTCAGGGAGCATGAGACATCATTTTCACATATGGATTGGCCACCACAGAGTCCAGACCTTAACCCCAATGAGAATCTTTGGGATGTGCTGGAGAAGGCTTTGCGCAGCGGTCAGACTCTACCATCATCAATGCAAGATCTTGGTGAAAAATTAATGCAACACTGGATGGAAATAAATCTTGTGACATTGCAGAAGCTTATCGAAACAATGCCACAGCGAATGCGTGCCGTAATCAAAGCTAAAGGCGGTCCAACGAAATATTAGAGTGTATGACCTTTTTTTTTGGTGGTGACTTTTTTTTTGGCCAGGCAGTGTAGATTCAGTTAGAAGCTACAAAAGTACTGAGAGTTGAACACGGAGACTTTGAAAAACGCCTTCCTCTCTGGTCACCTGCAGACAGAGGTGACTAGAGTCTTGCAACACACACGCTTGTTTGTGCGGGGGGAGAATGGGGGTTGTCGAGGGCCCGGCTTTTGGATCTACTTCGGAGAAGGTCCATCTCTGGCGCAGCTTGGCGTGGCCAGTCTTAACTTGCAATTGAAACACAAATCAGCAACATGGCTTTACTCAGCGCAGCCAAGAGTGACAATGGAAGAAAGGTATTAGAGGTCTAGTGTGTAGGATTTAGTGGCATCTAGTGGTGAGGTTGCAGAACTGAAATATCTCCTGTGTGCCAAGCGTGTAGAACTACGGTTGCCAATGCATAAAACATGGATGGCCCTATCTAGAGCCCGTGTTTGGGTTGTCTGTTCTGGGCTACTGTAGAACAACATGACGTACTCTGTGGGAGAGGACCTGCTCTGTATGTAGATGGTAATGAATTGTTATTTTCAGGTGAATTCAAACCAATGGGAAAATAGTTATGACTATTATATTACCATTTCTGCCAATAAATTCCCCTAAATCCTACACACCAGCATTTTAACTCTGTAAATGAACGTACTACACCGTTTCCTGTAGTTTTACAAATGTGGTTTTCATTCATTTGCATATTCAGATTTCATCCTAGGTGCACAGAAAGCTCATTTTGTATGAATTATTACTTATGTTTTTCAGTTATTTGTATTCACTGCCCTCCCCCAGACACATATACACATACAAACTACTATAATAGTGGGACATAAAAATGATGGGTGTGTTACATCCTCTTCTGGCCTGGAAATGGTTTCAGAAGCCGGCGAAGCTGCTTCTCTATGTCGTTTACACACCCTGCAACAGAACATGTACACCATACATTTGTTGCAGTTATTAAAGATAAAACGATAAAGGTGTCTCCACATGTTTAATTACCATAGTCTTATTTACATGTACTGTTGCACATGCACCTGTTTTACATCTCAATAAGTTTGCATTAACAACGCAGGTTACCTAAGTGTGTGTTGGCAGGGAAACACGAACCACCAATTGTTTCTAGGTTGACATCCTCTCTATAGACGGGCCCGTCGTTCCACATGAGATCATAGCCACCCACCCTCTTCTCCTTGCCAGTCAGCCTAATGAGAAAAAACACACAGTTAATTAGAACGCAGCAGCAGCATGGTGGCAAAAGATAAAAGGGACTCATCTTATCAGCTGTTGTACAGCACTCACCTTGTGATCTGAGGGGGACTGTAGCAAATTGTTTATTGTTGCAATAACACAATCTGTTAAAGTGCATCTTCCCACCCATGTTTATTACTTTCAAATATACCATAACCCAAGATCATACTTCACAATTTGTATAGAGTGGTGAATATCAATTAAGAATGTGACGTCTATAATGAATGGAGGGGCAGAGAACTCTTGCATCTTGTTCCCTGATGACAAAAATGCAAACACACAGTGACAGAGACGCCTTTACCTTCCCTCCATATCAACCACGTTCAATGTGTCATCCAGCAGCCGGCACTTCATCTCGTAATCCTCTTGACTACTGGGTGTGTGCGACGGAGAGGCGTTCACTTCAATTAGCCACCTGAAAAAAGACGGAGGTGATGACATTCACCAAACATGTACTTAGCCTTTTGAGCTGGCATTACGCCGACTCAAGAGCACATCCACATCCACGACTGGATTGTTAGGTGAGTACAAGCAATATGTGCACTGGAGAGAGGCACTGTCATTTCTGTGTTTTATAATTTACAGCAGGATTACATCACACCTGCCAATTGCTGAGATACACTATGCAGATTTATGGCATTATTCGTACATGTTTATTTATGCAGTCTAACACTAGCAGATTTACTGCTTTGTTTTCAAGCATTCAGGATTGCAAGTAAACCCTATGCCATGTTTACTTGTCTGTACATGTGCTTGTCTTTGCTTCGTTGTGAGCATGCGTGCCTTAGTGCATGATTGCAAGTAGTGGATATTTGTGGGCGATGATGCATTTTTGCTATGGTTGCAGTGTATGACTGTAGGAGCACTTACGGTTTGAGGTTCTGATCCAGTAGAATGTCGTACCCGTAGAGCTCAAAGCAGTGTTTGTCATTTATAATGACCTTCTGTACACTCTGTAGACTGCGGACAAAGATGTTATCCATCTCTTTAAACAGGGACTCTACCGTCTCTCTGCCGTGCTTTGCAGTCAGGTATCTTCGAAGCTGTTGCATCTGCCACTTACATCCCTGTTTAGGATTAAAGAGGAGATAGAATTGGTTGAAAATATGCAGCGATACAATCTTTGACCTATTCTCTGAGGTTATTGAATTACACACCTTTTCAGGATCATAGTCTGGCGCTGTTTTCTGAACAGCCACATTCGTGAGGTGCATATCTGAAGAGTGGCATTAAGTAGAGTTTGGGAACTTAAGTGACATAATCACGCTTTCCATGGAGATGTGGATGAAAGGGACAGAATTAGGAACAACAGCCACGGAAATTGGGTCAAACCGGGCTATTTAAAACTGACTTTGCTTGAATATTTCATTAGACAAAGGCTCAACTTGTTAAGGCATGACTCAGAAACAGACTAACACATGAGTGTATTCAAATGAGCAGAGAGAAAGAAAAGGATACACTTGTCATCAATACTGCTGAGGGAGAAGCGGGTGCTTGAGAAGCGGCCAAAGCCATCTCGATACAGCCAGGCCTTTAAGGGAACATACTGAAACACAAACACACATACACAAACACTGATTCACACGTACACTTTATATAAAACACTGTGATGTATAAGGTCCAGTACGTACGGATGTGACCAGCACATAGACCCTCAGATCAAATTTCCTGCCTGTGGAGACAAAAAGCAAGCAGAGACATATGTCATTCTATTTTCTCATTAATTCAAAATTTGTATATTTTTATGTTTGTTAATTATTTGTTAGCACATTGGATGGTTTTTAAATTAAACGTGTATTTTTTTAAATTCAGTTTATTACCATTAATTAGGTAGGGGTTCTCTATATAGCGCTGTGCCACATAGCTTTCCACTTGAGCTGCATCCTTCTGTTCCTCTGAGCGGGTGCCATCCTGTGTAAACACACAGTTATTAATCTGAATATGTGGGTGTGCAGGCAGAATTTCTGTTTTTAGGTTTTTTAATTTGCACCCAATTGCTTGACAAAATAAACACACATTACCTTCTTCCAGTCCATGATGTCTTTCAGTTTCCTGAACAGGAAAATGCCTTTCCCTTGAGATTTTGCTACCTAAATGAAAATACCAGTTAATTTTCATGACTGAAATGTAATTGGGTTATAACTTAAAGGAGAACCATACAATTAAAAAAAAAATATATATGTTGATATTATGATCTAACACAGTCCGAAAATATTAGTAAACATGAATAACTCTGTCCTAGATCCAAAAATATGAGTGCTAAAACTCAAATTTGTGATGCCATCAGGTATAAAGTCTGGAGCTGCTCCACAGGTAATAAATTAGGAAAGATGTTATTGATGACACCGAGAACACCCAGGGAATGTTCTGAGTATACGAGTACATTTTCAGTTTCATGACTGAAAACACTGCAATAGAATAAAGCTCATTTGGGTATAAAAAAGCAAATATTGAATTAACCTTCCAAGGCTACTGGAATAACAAACTGGAATTATTTATTTAGGTGGTGTTCCCCTTTAACTTTAGTTTCTGAGGTCATCCAAATACTACATCAACAATTTCATGGCACTGCATTACACCTATGGTCTGCTTTAGCTAACCGGCTTCATGATCCAAGTGCTGCCAGGGTTTCTTTTGAATTCCTCTACAAAGAGATGATATTCGCTGGGCAGTGCAAAGGTGCAGGGGAAAAAGTCACATTTGGCTGCCTCCATGCGGCCAACATCCCTTTCAAGAGTTTTCCGGTATCTTTTGAGGTTTTTCACCATGAGGTTCTTGCGAGTCAGCTGTAAAACATAGACACACAGAAACACATTAAAATACTACATGACTTTTGATGATATGAATGATATATGATTATTACTGTTAAAAACTCCAGTGTACAGTCTTGAAGCTAGACAGATGCTGCCTTACCTCATAATGGTTGCGAAAGTGGTTTATCCTTACATGTTCCTCCATGTAGGAATGATCAAAGTTCTCCCTGAGCCAGCCCACATCACACCAGTTAAAGTCCCACTCTCCTTCACTGTGAGAGAAAGAGCAGATACCAGATTCAAGCCACAAATATGACAGAGGGGCTGTTATAATGATGATGAATAGTCAGAGCTACTCACTCTTTGACTTCAATCCAACCTGGCCTTTGGCGCAGGACATCCTGTATGGTGTTCAGCAGGCCACATTTGTAACGCACACAGCTTCTTCCCTCCCTGAGCAGACATTGTAACATAGTCAGTAGTCTGTTAACAGTACTAGTTAACAGCTGTTCATTTGTGACCAACTTACAAACAACACTCACCGCTCCTCACTTTTGTTGTAGTCATATGAGCCTTTGTATCCGGAAGTCTGCAATGGTGAAGACAGCAAAACAACATTTAGCCCCATAGTTTAGGATACAATATTTAATTATACACTTTACACCTGCAATTTTCCTGGTTTGCCAACAGCTAACGTTAGCGTTTGTTAACCCTAAAACCACTACCTTATTCCTTCTAAACAGTTATATGTAGTCTTAAATACAACCCTGTACTACTCTTTATTAACTTAGGGGTACGCATTAATGCTAACTGGAACTTTACTAACAAACTAGCTAGGGCAGAGTGTTATTTTGTTAGTAAGAAAGCCTACAAGTCAACAAAATGTACACACAGTGCTTCCTGTTTACCTTATACTTTGACATAGAGGCGCACGCTATGTAATTTTAGAAAAATAGGATAGTAAACTAGCGTTATATTAAAGTATGCGTAAGTAGCATCCAGTTAGCAGTTAAGCTAGCTAGTCCTAGCGGAGTTTGACAGCCGTTGTCATGGTAACCACATCACCGAGCGACAAAGGGAATGTCCTGATGTGCTTTCCGTAGAGTTGGGGATCCACATATAATCAGATTTGTAGTTTCCTTATTTTTAAAATAATGTAGGATTCTTCAGATGAATTACAGAAATATGACAACAACTCATACCAATACAATATATACGTTCATTATAATAAAATAATAAATAAAATAAAACATGTTTCACACAAATATCGACAGCCTTTATCAATTTTAGGAAAACAAAGGGTGAACCCATATTATTTTTCTTTCACTTGACAGATGTGGGTTTGGTCAATATGCTTCTTGAATTATGTTGACATTTTATTTTTACAATTTTTTTTAAAAGAGTCATTACAGTTTTATATTATGCAATTAGTCTTAATCCATCAGATTGTATTACAAATATCAGAACTTTGAGTTTACATTAACAGTAATGAGTTACCTGTAATAGTAAAGGTACTGGCTTTATAAACGTATAACATAAATGCAAAAACGTTACACTCATCATCATCCAACACCTTTACTATAAAATCACCACTAAGTGGCGCCAAAACCTCATCTAACCCAGAGGAATGGTCCCTTATTTCCGGCATATTGTCTGTTGATTTACTTTGGTCTAAAATTGATATTAGAGTTTAATTTCAGATCAAGATATTACATGCTTAATCACAGAAACCAACACATCTACTTATTTTCTACTAATCCTTGTGTATTCTCTATTTTAACCCCTCAATTTGTTTGTTTGTTTCAGATATGTGAATGGATTTCTAAGTCGGCAAGAGGCCAAAATGAACCAAACATGTTTTAACTTTGCAAATGCATAGATTAAGTTGACTGTCAACTCCACTCCCTCTTGGATTTATCTGTTAATATTCTGTGACTGCTTTATTCCCATCGGCCTATGTGATAGACCCATGCGATTACCAAAAGTATCAAATGGTAAATGTCATATCAACACACACAGTAACATTATTTTACATTTCCTTTTTTATTTTTTATATGTGTTTCTAAATATTTAAAGCCGAATGTGATCCACCAATAACATAATACAAAAACAGAACATCAACATTTATAGATTTATGTGGCGAACATTGAACTCCTGTAAGTAATTTAAGATAACAAAACATATGAGAGACAAATGGCCCAGTGATTGCACCCAGAGATTTACCATAACAGGAATATTATGAAAAACAACAGTCGAGAGTGGACAGCGCTGGATCGTTACTTCACCTCTGACCTCTGAAGGTTAAAGAACTCTCTACGGCACACTGCCCTAAGTACTCAACCTCTCACACATTAGCTAATAATTAATGGCATGTATCATTTACTTTTTTTTTAGTGGCAGGGGCCGGCCTCATTTTGGTGTACATTACTTTTGTGGAGGAAATTAGCTGGTGCGTGTCTCGTTAATCCTTTGGTTTGCTGTTTATGTGATAAAACAATGGTGGGTTGAGGTACAGGGTAGAGGATTATTCCATTTTCTTAATGATGAAGCATAATAACTGCTCCATCTATACCCAGTGCATAAAAACATTACATGTATTGCTTTGAACTGCTGGATGTCAGTTCGGTAAAAGGAGCTTACATCTGAGTCAGATTCCTGAACAAAGCCAAATAAATGGGTAGATTACCGTCTCCTGTGCTGTTTCTGTGCCTTTTTTTCTTCTTCAGCCACCCACCACTAGTCAAACAATCAAGCGTACTTTAACTCTGACATAAATAATCACAACAGGCTAGAGTTAAGAGGGCTTTAAATTGAATATGGTTTGGCTACCTACCGAGGTGTCCGCAGAAGTAAAGAACATAAGCCAGAACTTCTCAGTGTAATAACAGGATCGCTTTACTAACTGAGCCAGAATCCTGTTTCAAAACTTCCCTATGCATATGAGCTGTGGGAAACAACTGCTTTTTAAGGGTAATTTCATGAAAATAACAGCAAACACGAAACAAAACATATAATTGAAGAACTGATTTTCTACAAACATATAGGAATTCGGTAGTATTTCTGATGATAGCAAAGATGAAGAACAGAAATGAGGCAGTGCAGTGATGATATATCTATATCAAAAACAGCTGGCTATAAGATGGCATCCGTTTCTTTCAAATTTCATCAACATCATCTGCTTGGGCAAGCATCAGAGAAGAAAAATTTACTCTTCCTTTGATCATGTTTGCTGCAGCAGAGCTCTACACGCATCTTTATATAGTCTCCAAAAAACACTCAACTAAAATTTCTATCTCCTATCAGCTGTGCATGTCATATCTAATGATGGTCGGATGGAATAAACAAAAATGTGATTGCAGCAATCAGTCAAAATATCAAGCTTTGGCATGTGGGTGATTAATAAATGATGGAGTATCCAAATACATTTATATCACGTTTTCCTGAAACCTTATCTTTAAATAAGTGAAAAAGTACTGTGACAAATTCAATAAAATCAGAGCTTAATGATGGAAAGAAACTTGTGTTTAAAGGTCACCCATGTATCTAAGCCAAAAGTTGACATTTCTCAGCTGCTCACAGTTATTCAGATATTTCTAATGTTGCAGAAAGAAAGAGATTTCAGCCAACAACACCACGCCCTTGTTCTTAAACACAACATAGTAAAGTTACTGCTTTATCCCTGCATTAAAATGCTATTGCTTTCAATGCCAGGAATTTACATTTACGTCACCTCTACAAATTCCATGTTCAAATTCAGTGCTGTATGTTTCATGGGAGACAGTGGTTTAGTCCTTAAGAATTCCCCCCTCCCCTTTGTCTTTCAGAACCTAGCCTCTGTAAAACTCTGTATCTTAAGCCCTATAATCAGTTAAACCATAGGTGCCGATCAGGCCGACCTCTCTGCAAGTTTTTATTGTGAGGCAGATTTCCTGCATTTGTGCTTGTGCAAATGTTTATGGTTTGGCAGTCATCCCTTCAGAGAATTTATATCAGTAGTAGCTGCACCTATTATGCTTATCTTTTTGGCTGACCAAATATGTTTTGTTCCTCATGCAACATGAAAAAAACAAACCAGTATCCTGGAATCCAAATTGTTTTTAAAGGATTAACCCCATGGGTTTAAAATTAACTTCCAAATTTATTTTCCTATTTAAGTGGTCATTTTAAATCTAGATTTTTCTTTAGAAAGCCCTCAATAACTGGATCAGTTTGACAATGCTGATTTTGCCATGGTGTGGGATTTGCATAAATCTCAACATCACTACTTACTGTGAAGCATCCCGCAAGGCATACAATTCCCAGTAGGTGATAATCATCAGTCCCGGTGAACTATTTGCTCCTTAATGGCAACCACAAAGCAGGAAATCTGTGGTATCCAGGGGCATCAGCTGTTACTCATAATGGAGGCATCTCTCTGAGTTACAGCGATAATCCTCACCTTGGAATGATGTGCTGTATGGTGGAAAGTTCAGCTCGGTCGTAAATGTTTCTGTTCAAAGCACCTCTCCACATAAAGAGGAAACATGCCTGGTATGTCACAGATCAGGTCAAGGAAGCAAACGTAAGTAAGGATGAAGCTTTGAAGCACAAAAGGGCAAAAGAGGCCATTGCCATTGAGTTGATAAATGCCATCTGTACACTATAATTTGCAAGGAAATGGCAGTTTGAGGTCCAACCCACCATTGGCACATGACAGATCAGTGCCGTCCTGCGTATCATCATTCTGTATACTTAACAACAAGTTAAGAGTTTGAACATGACTGACAAAATGTCAGAAAATTATTGTCTTTATAAAAGGCGTTTTCAAGTGTCTGTGTGCAGTAGTATCCTCTAATTTAATCTAATTGAGTATGTCCCACTGATAAATACAGGAAGTGATAAACATGATCCTGGTCTTTAAGGGGGAAGGGCAGAAATACAGAGCAGGTAGTGTGGCTTTTTCTATTGACAAAAAAAAAAAACTTTTCATGTAACAGTGGCTCTGTATCGCAGTGGAAATCAACTTCCTTTCTGTGCTTGATTTTTTTCCCCTAATCAGTGTGAAGAGCTGTTTTATATCTCAGTTCCTCGTGTTAATTTCAATGGGCTTACACTTCTGCAGCCTCTGAGATGTTAATGCCACCTGTTTATTGTTTCTATGCTCCCTACCTCAGTAGCTCCAAAGCACTCCGGGGGTAATGACTCCGCAAATCCCCAGGTTCTGCACACCCTAAATGTTTTCTGCTAAAACATGAGGGGAGGCCAAGAAAAACAGGACAGAGTGGTAGCTGGAATCCTCCTGAAATGTAGTACATTCCCACGTCTCCCAGAATATCTGAGAATCCGCCGCAATGAGTTTCCCTCCGCTATGCGGTAATCAACACTTTACAAGCAGATGTTGGCAGGCAGACAGTGGACATATCTCCATGAGTGGATAATTGGCAGGCAGAATGTGGACATATCTCCATGAGTGAATAATGAGACAGTAGGCCCCTGAGCACAAATATGCAAAGGGCCCCACCAGGAGCAATGGCTGTTTTTGTCTCTTTGTAGTCCTTATGCATCTTTTTGTAGTTTTGTGTCCGCTTGAGGTTGTTCTGTGTCTTTTTGTAGTCATTTGGGGCTGGTTGACGTAGTTCTATGTGTTACTGAGGTCATTTTTTGTCTCTTTGAAGCAATTTTGTGGATTTTGTTTTTTTTGACGTTTTGTGTTACTTTGTATCAATCAATCAATCAATCAATCAATCAATCAATTTTATGTATAAAGCCTAATATCACAAATCACAATTTGCCTCAGAGGGCTTTACAGCATACAACATCCTTCTGTCCTTAGGACCCTCGCAGCGGATAAGGAAAAACTAATAAAAAACCTTTAATGGGGAAAAAAAAACCAGTAGAAACCTCAGGAAGAGCAGCTGAGGAGGGATCCCTCTTCCAGGATGGACAGATGTGCAACAGATGTCATACAGAACAGATCAACATGATGAATTAATACTAATCTGTATGACACAATAAGACAGAAGGGGAGA